TGATCAAAACACCTTACGTATGAAATTCTCAATAAAGTTTTTGTAAGAATTAAAAAAAAAAACTGAAGAAGCCAAGTGATGTCCACTTCTGGCCTTCACACACATGCACATGTGCATACACCCACATGCCACACACACACACACACACACACACACACACACACACAACCAACTGTACAACTACAGTGTATGAAAAATTGCCCACCTCACATACCCAGGTGATTTGGCTACTGTAAGAGCTAACATAATTTTAATTTCAATGAATAAAAGCACAATTTCTGATTACACAAATGATGAATCTTTTTGTTCTCAGATCTTCTTAAGTGAGAATTGGGCAGCATGAAACAATGTTGTTTGGATTAAATTCAATAGAAAATCCTGAAAGAATCTAAGAGGTATACCCAATAGTCGTGCTGTGCTAGTATATACAACCCCACAAATATGTCTTGAAATGCAGGCACATCTAAGACTGCCTCATCATTTTGCATTTGTTCCAAAAAAGAATTTATCTCCAGAAATCCAGACTTTAATAGCCTTAATCTGTGGTGGAAGAAGAGTACCCCAGTTAGAGCCCAGAAAATGTTTTAGCTGTCATGGTTCCTGGGGGATCCTATGTATCAGTTTCTTGTTGCTCTGCTAAAACACCATAACCAAAAGCAATTTATGGAAGAAAGAGCTTATGTGGACTTATGGTTCTAGAGGGACCGTCCATAATGGGGAGGGGAGAATGGCAGGAGGCATCTGGAGCAGGAAGCTAGGAGATCACATCGTCAACTGCAAAGGAGAAGTAGAGAGAAAAATCTGGAAGTGGGGTGAAGCCATGAACCCTCAAAGCATGCCCCCAGTGACATATTTCCTCCAGGAAGGCCATACCTCCTAAAGAATCTATGACCCTCCCCAAACAGTGCCACCAACTGGGGACCGTGTGTTCAAATCTTTGAGCCTGTGGGGGACATTCCTCATGCAAACCACCAGTGTATAAAAATGAGGAAGAGATGGGACAAAAGAAAGGAAAAGGGGCTGGAGAGATGGCTCAGCGGTTAAGAGACTGGCTGCTCTTGCAGAGGACCCGGGTTCAGTTCCCAGGACCGACACGGCAGCTAACAACCATCTGTAACCCCAGTTCCAGGGTATCCAACACCCTCTTCTCACCTCCACGGGCACTGAGTGCCATGGATCCACCTACCTACATGCAGGTAATACACTCATACACATAAAATAAAAATAATAAATATTTTTTAAAAGAAAAGAATTTAGGGACCTGGGAAAATGACTCAGTTGGTGAGATGCTTGTACAAGCATGAAATCCTGAGTTCTGATCTTCAGCACGCATGTAAAAACAAAACAAAACCCCAAGCTTGATGGGGCACACTCTTAATTTCAGCATTGGGGAGGCAGAGGTGGCAGGAGGGGGGTGTCCTTGGAGCTCCTTGGCCAGTCGGCCTGGCCTACTTAGTGAGTTCCAGGCCAATGAGTTCAGGCTTTATCTTTTGTATAGTAAATCTGTCTCTGGCTATGTGACAGTTCATCCATCGGTTTAATATAAAAGATGTCACAGAGGTGCCTCCAAAATGTTCATCATTATGGGGGTGAGGGGCCAGGAAAGGATGAGAAGGACCTGAAGTGAGGAAATCAAGACACAGCTCAAACATCCACAGGGTTCTAGTTTAATAACAAACTAAAAAACTGATTCTAAATGTGTTGTTCTTAGTCCTTTTTGTTCAGAAAGAAGTCCCTTTTGTTAAGAGCATTGAAAAAGAAAAGGTTTGATGTTGACTACAAATAAACAAATACGCTCAGTTCTAAATGCAAGTTTTTTTTTTTCTTTTCCTGCTGTGGAGAACTCGCCTAGGTTTCTAGTTTGTGTTGTTGTTGCCAGGGCGATAAGCCCTGTGCTTCTGGATTTAAGATAAAACTTCCTCTAAAATATTTCATAATCTGATGATATTGGGCTTTGACTAGATCTAGTGGGCAGGTGGAGTGAGGGGGATTCTGAGGAATGTCCTTGGGGTCCTCCTGGGTATTTACTGTATACCAGAACCACTTAGAGACCTTCTAAGGAATCCTTTACCCTGAGTGTCGCTCTACAAATTCTAATACAAAAAGGACTGCTTTTTCGGTGAAGAGAGTCAGCTGTAGCCAATTTCTGGACTATTTCTGGCTTTAAAAAAAAAATCACTCTAAAAACATCTTTATTACCTGTAAGTTGCAATTGTAAACATTCTCTGCAAAAGGGGAAACTGAGGTACCAGAAAATTAAAGCAAATTACCCTTTGTTAACTAACAAGTGTATGTTGCAACAGAACATTCTGGCTCTAGGAAGGCCATCCTAGGGCGCCGTAATTAGGAAAAGACAATAGAGTTTGAAACACAGTATGGATGTGGCACGGAAGGATGACAGTGGTCAGTGTGAGACTGAATGTTGATTAGGACAAATAAGGTGGACAAGAATTAGCACATACCCTAGAGGCTTTTAAAAAGGACTTTGTGGGTGTTGGTAGCAAGTAAAAATAGAGATTTTTGTTAAGAATGGCAGAGGAACTGGGCTGTGGTACTAATAAGGGGGCAGCTCTGATGTCTGGAGGGGCAGGAGATTTGTACAGTCCCCCACAGATCACAGGCCCTCAATCAATGTTTGTGGAAGGAATTTGCAAAGGAGGCTTGGGACTAATGTTTCGATTTGATAACTACCATTTTCCTGGTTGCCCTGATCCTGATGTGGGAGACCAGCCAGGAATGCAGGAGAACTGAGGGCCTCCATGGAGACCATCAGCCCCAGGGGTGGAAGTGGCTTACCTTCTTAGACACAAGGGCCCCATCAGCTGGGGAGAGGTGCTGGAGGAGGTGGGAGGGAGGGAAGGACTGAGGGAGTGACTTCATCTGTTTAATGAAAAATGACCTGAACATCTCTCTAAACCTGGAAACTCCCGGCCAAATTGGGGCCAAAGAAAACAGGATTAGGTCTTATTTCTTTAAGGATGGCTTTGCATCTGCTCAGAATGAGTTAAACTGGAGGGGGTTAAAAAACAAAACAAAACAACAACAACAAAAAACAAGAAGAAACCCAAAACAATAATCTTTCTTCATTGTCCCTGCAGAAAAATCCAGAGGGAAATCATTTCAGGAGGTTAATAGAACAGGCTGTCCTCTGGTCCCGCCGAAGTAGGTGGGCCCACTTTCCCCTGGTTCCTTTGCCTTGCAAGTGGCACCCTGTTTCTTTGGTCCGTTCCTTAATAACAAAGTTTGCCATATGGCATTCAGAGAAAAGAATTACCCCCTCTGGCATTCTGTCTACTGACAGGCTGCTGATTTCAAGTTTAAGGTTCTTTCTCTCCTCTGACTTCTACAAGAAGTCAGCTTCTGCTCAGAAGCATATGGGTTTTTAAAACTGCAACACCAGTTTTTAGGGTGCGCAAAACTGACATGCATTCTTCTGTGCCCTGCTGGGTGACACGCCTCCGGATGTCTGTGCCCAGGTTTGGTGGGGATACACAGTCTTTTTGAACCGAAACCAGCACTGTGAAAACCTTTAGACAGTCTCTTCAGTGCTTGGGTCCCTCAAATCATTCTTTTAAAAACAGGAGAATGGGACAAATAAATCCATAGGGTCATTTTCTCTTTAATGCAATGTATATTTATTGTAAACAATAATATACAAAAAAGAAAGGAAGGAAGGAAAGAAAGGTAAGTTTCACAGAGAGAACAAAAAGTTTGGAGGGGGAACCGAACAAAACACAAACACAAACCAAAACTTACCTAAAGAGAAAATATGATTTAAATGCCAGGTTTCTTAAGTTACAGAAATATTTTTAAAAAGGTCTGTTTTTATACAGAAATTGAAAGATGCCATAAGAGTGCTTTAAGATTTTATTCTACTAACTTCTAAAACTGTTAATATATCTTTCTTTTAAATAAAAAAAAAAGTCTGCTGTCTTTTTAAAAAAGCAATCCACACATTCTCCAGCCACAGCAGTTATTAAGAATTAAGGTCTGTCTTGGGCCGAGCCCCCTTCTTGTGACGTTTCTCTGAAGGAGGGCATGCACTGGGCTATCCATGACACATGCTTGCATAGGATGCGTTGTTTCTTTTTATCACAACACGGGCACACATCCACAGAGAATTCAGCCAGCCCAAAGGTCTGTGGCAGGAAGCACTGCAAATGACGCATGGACATATACATTTGCAACCTCTCATTTGTACAAAAATAAAGAACACGTTTCCAGTTTGTTTTCAACAACAATAACAACAAAAAACCAACAGAGAGGAGGGGGAAAAAAAAAGAACGGACAAAAAGATTTTTGTACAAATCTAGGATGAAGAATCCAAAGAAACTTGCTTTTAATAATAAAAAAGATTAAAGAGATAAATTAAAAAAAAACTGGTTACAGTTAAGAACATAATTTAACAACAGATGACCCTACCCTTTGAGGAAGGTTCCAACAAACTACCTTAAAGACAGTAAATTTAAAAAAGAAAAAAAAAAGGAGGCAGATTTTTTTTTCTTTTAATTAAAACCTCTCCTTACAAAATAAATAATTTTAGCACGTGGAATGTCTTGAAGGTTAACTGCTGGTGTTCTGAAGAGGCACAGGTGATAGACAGTCTGAGCAGGCAGACAACAACATCTGCCATCCACATGGGGCCCAGGCAGGCAACCAGGGGGCAATGTGCTTACAGCCAGGCTGCTGTAACATTCCCCAAGCAAATACCGGTTCCTTGGCAGTTGGCTTCTTAGACTGCAGCCAGCAAGCAAGGGTATACCGAGTGTTCTAAGGAGGACATGTGTATTTCCAAGCAGCAAGGTTTTAAGGCTCAAGGCGATTTTCCTCTTGTTTAAAAAATATATGTGATAAAGCTTACCAATGCGCCTCTAGAATATCTATTTATTCCCCTTATTTGCAAAAGAGAAGGCTTTCATCTTTCTTTTTAAGGCAGTTCCTCTCATAATCCAGGAGCCTGAGGAATTAACCAAAGCTCATCCTCCCCCCAAATTGATGACGTTAACAAAATTCTGTGTATTTTTTTATGTTACTTCAGCGACACTTTTTGATTTTCTTTTTTTTTTTCCTTTTTTTTTTGTTTTTGTTTAAGAAGAAAGCAAATCTGTACAAAAATACTCTGGTTGCAAGAAAAGCTAGGGCACACTGTTGAACTACAAGTAGTTTAGCTGTTGGAAAAATAAGAGAATTTAATTTTTTATCTAAAAATATGTATAAATCCCCTCAAATGGTAATGAATCATACACAGTACATACTAAAAATATTTAAAATAGAGAATATTCCTCACAGAGGACTTTTTTTTTCTTTAATTACGGCTAAAAAATAATTACAAAGTCCAAACAGGCGGGGAGATTGAGCATATGGGTCGCAAGGTTCTCCATCGTCCTCCAACGCTGACTCTGAAGGAACTAAGTCCAATTTCTCGCTGATGCTGGTCTGTCCATCTGGCCAAACGTGGCCTGGGCACCGATTTGCACTAACTTGGCAATACATGCGGATAATGTCTCTCCTGGAACCTCGGCACTAGTTATCGCCGCTGCTTACAAGTCTTTAAAGGAATGGGAACAACAGAAACTGTCCAAAGGACTTTCAGGTTGGTTCTTGATTTCTTCGGTTATTTATTTGTTTGTTATTTACTTTGAATGATCAGCTCCATCGCCTTCGCCTTTGTTCAACATCTCCTCAGGGTCTGGTGAGCTGTGTATAGACCGGTTGTTCCCAGTGCTGCGGGCTGTGGGTCTGCGGGATGGATGGGACCCCGGAGGTGTCAGCGATGGGGGTGTACATGGGGCGCTGAGCAGGGTTCATGTAGGTGAAGGTGGGGTAGAGCCCCGAGCCCTGGCCGGCGGCGTGGCTGTAGTAGGAGCCGGAGTTTTGGTGGTCGGTGTAGTCGTACTGCGAGCGCGTGATGGGCGGGTAGGACGGGCTGTAGTGCGGGAGGTTGAACGGGCTGTAGGCGATCTGCTGCGGAGAGTGCTGCTGCTGCTCGCTGTAGTGGCTGGGGCTCAGCTGCTCGGTCTTGATGTGCGTCCGCTGGGACTGGCCGGGCTCGCTGCTCAGCGTGGTCAGCGTGTGCGCCTGCGGCTGCGGGGGCGCGGGCTGCGGCTGCGGGGGCGCGGGCTGCGGCTGCGGGGGAGCCTGCGGGGCCTGCGGGGCCTGCGGAGGCTGCTGCGGGGGCGGGGGCGGCGCCTGCTGCTTGGACATCCACACGTGGCCCGCGGTGGCCGGGGTGGCCGCGGTGCTGCTGATGCCGTAGCTGCCGGTGTAGGTGACCTGGCCGTGCGTGGCCGGCACCCCCGGGTGGCCGTTGGGCGGCAGGTATTGATCAAATTCATTGACGTCGAAGGTCTCGATGTTGGAGATGACGTCGCTGCTGAGCTCACCGATGTCCACGTCGCGGAAGTCGATGGGAGGCTGTCTACCCCCCTCTGCCAAGGGGCGCCCCTCTCGCTTCAGGTCCACCTTGCCAGTCTGCACGTCGGTTTTGGGAGTGGTGGGTGGGGTCGGGGGACCCTGTGATTGCCCTGCAAGCAATAAAAGACAAAGGCAAACCGTGAAAATCAACAGGGGCTGTGCAAAGCCTCCGGTGTCGGGAGCCCTCCAGAGACCCTCCCCGGTTGCTAAGGTGTCAGAAGGACCCGCGCTCGCACGGGAGGCCCTGTGCAGCCGAGATAAGCCCACGAATGATTAACCCGCGGGTACACACTGGGCGAGTTCCTTTTATGTGGGGAGGGTCTGAGGCCCCAGATGTCGGGGAGGCTAAATTGCTACCTGTGGAAGCGCAGATGTGTGCTTTGGGGATGCAAAGAGGGGCTACTTTCTTAAAACTGTTAAGATTGTATCTTGCAATAAAGAATCAAATCTTAGCGTTCGGCACTGGGGTTGAGTTGGTGTGTAAACGCGCGCGCCCCCGCGCCTCCGGGTCTCTCGGGACCTTGGACGGCATGGGGAGGAGGACTGAGCGCAAGGAGATTGACCCCCGCCCCAAGGAGCGCAAAGAGCCCACTCAGATCCCGGAGGAGCGCTGGGTGGCTAGGCCTCGGGGATCGTCCTCAAAGGGCTCACCGGAGTGCTCGCCGGGAGAGTGCACCTCGCTCATGCTGGAGGAGGAGTGCGGAGAGTCCGCCTGCAGCGCCTTGAAGATGGCGTTGGGGGAGATGTGAGTCTGTTCTGTGGCCTCCTCCGCCTCCGCCTGCCCGTTCTTCACCGACTTCCTCCGGCGTGGCTGGTACTTGTAATCCGGGTGGTCTTTCTTGTGCTGCACACGCAGCCGCTCCGCCTCCTCCACGAAGGGTCGCTTCTCACTCTCGTTTAGCAGTCTGAGGGTGGGGGGAAAAAGAATGGGGGTGTCTGTGAAACTCCGGGAGCTGTCAGGTCCCCACCCCTCGGCTTCCAAGCCCACTCCTCCTCCTCCCTCCTGCTGGCTGTCCATCACACAGGGGCACAAAGCAAACCAACCAATCAAAAAAAAAAAAAAAAAAAAATTCCAGGAGACGACCGGAGCGGTCACTCTTCGCCCCGCCCCCTCCCCTCGACTTCTATTTTGGAAACCCTGGAAATGAAAATAGCTCCCGGCTGCTGCTCCTCTAAACTTTGCTACCGGAGTGACCCACCCCTCCCCACACCGTGTAAAAACTCCGAAAAACCACTGAAATTGCAAGAAGCTCGCCCTGTCGCTCCACGCTCCTACCCTTCTCACGCTAAGTCGCTCCCATCCTTCCCCCATTCTTGCCAGGGTCCCCACCAGCCTCGGGTATGTCTCCCCCTTTCACTCCATCTTCTCCCAGGCAAGGCTACATCAATCGGTGACTGGGTGGAAGGCTAGCCCCCGATTTGTTCACTTCAAGGCGACGAGAGTGGCACCCCTCTCCTGGCCTCCCCCCGACTTGTGCCACTCCCCCCACCCGTCCCCAAGAGCAACTTTCTCAAACTCTGAGCCAGTCCTACTTCGCCCGCCACCCCCATCCCCGCCCGCAGGCTATGGGACCAGAGACTCCCGGCGGAGGCGGGGCGGGGTCCGTGCGCACAGCCTGCGTCCCGGCCGTCCCCGAGCCCACCCTTGCCGTGCCACCCCGCGGGCGCTCACCTCCAGAGCTTGCCCAGCGTCTTGCTGAGCTCGGCGTTGTGCAGATGAGGGTACTGATCGGCCAGTTTCCTGCGCGCCGCCTGCGCCCACACCATGAAGGCGTTCATGGGCCGCTTGACGTGCGGCTTGTTCTTGCTGGAGCCATTGACGCGCACTGGCATGGGCACCAGCGTCCAGTCGTATCCCTTAAGCACCTGGCTGACCGCCTCGCGGATGCACACGGGGAACTTGTCCTCCTCGCTCTCTTTCTTCAGATCCGGCTCACCCTTGGGGAAGGTGTTCTCCTGGGGACGCGTGTTCTCCGTGTCGGAGCCCGAGCCCGAGGGGCAGGGAGAGCCAGCAGAATCCTCGGACATGGTGGGGCTGGGGGCGCCGGACAGGCCCTTCTCCTGCTCGTCGGTCATCTTCATGAAGGGGTCCAGGAGATTCATACGCGGGTCCGGGGCAGGGGGCGGGTGGCCGGGAAAGGCGACAAGCCGCGGTGGCTGGGACTCCACTCCCCTCGCCTGCCCGGACGCGGACGCGGAGCGAGCGGCTCTCGGGAGGCTGGCGCGTCACTTGGCGGTGGCGAGGAGCCTTCAGAGGCGCTGGATGGCCGGTGCGCAGCTGCCCGCTGCGAACCGGGAAGGCTAATCGGAGAGGAAGAGGAGGAAGGGAAGAAGGAGAACTAAACCTGGGGCACTTGCACCCCTTCTCCTCCTGCAAAGAAAAGTTCCCGGAATGAAACTGGCAAAGTCGTCGCCCTAGTGAAGTTTCCAGGCAGTTCCGAGCTCCGCTCTCGGCTTTCCAACTCCCAGCTCAGGGTCTCTTTAATAAATACTCCCCCTTCACCTTAGAGACGGTCCGCCAATCACCACTCGGGTTGGCAAGCAGCTGATTGGACTGGCTTTTGGAGGGGGAGGAGGATTATGGCTCTGGGTTGGGTGACGAGACCAGAGGGGAGGAGACGGGAGGGGAGCGCAGCGGGAGG